AACTGGCCATTGGATACACAGACAACACCTGAGCGGACACTTTGATGACACCGACGATATGGCGATTCCGGGGCCGCCCTATGGCTGCCAATGGCCTGACTGTACGAAAGACTTTAAGACTACATGGATGCTGAAGAGACACGTCTCTCAGGTGCACAAAGGCGTTCGGCCATTCGAGTGTCACGACTGCCCGAAACGGTTCTTCACGAATAGCGAACTTTGTGTCCATCGCCGGCAAAAGCACTCATTGGAACCGTTTGTGCCGAAGAAGGATTTTAAATGTGATTACAATGACTGCCAGTACGAGACCACTAGTTTGAGTAATTTAGATGATCACAAGAAACGTCACCTCAATATCAAAGAGTTTGTCTGCGAAGAGACCGACTGTGGGATGAGTTTTGTCGCTAACCGCGACCTCAAGAGACATATGCGGTCGCATAGCCATGAAAGGCCGCATCGGTGCGATTGGACCGGCTGTGAGTCCGCTTTTAAAATGGCGGAAAGTTTGGCCGATCACCGGCGCAGACATTCTGGCGATTTGCCGTTTGCTTGCGATGACTGCGAGGAAAAGTTTCCTTCAATTAGTTCACTCAGTAGTCACCGCCGGACACGACACGACACTAAGAGATATGAATGCGATGTCAGCGGCTGTTCGTGGGCTACAAACACGCGGTCGCACTTCGATGTTCACCGACGGAAGCACCAGAATGTGCGGCCATTTGTGTGCAAAGAGACCGATTGCGGGAAGAGTTTTAACAGAAAGTGGTCCCTCACTAAACACATGCAGTGTCACAGCGATGAACGGCCGCATCGGTGCGATTGGCCCGGATGTGAGTCCGCTTACAAAACCAGCGCTAATTTAGTCGATCACCGGCGGACACATACCGGTGATCGGGTGTATAAGTGTCTGTTTGACGGTTGCGGCAAAAATTTTATGTCTAGTACTAGTCTTTGGGCGCATAAAAATACACACAAACACCCGTTTGTCTGTCATTGGCCCGAATGTGACCAGAGATTTGGTGATAGCCGTCGTCTTAAGGCCCATATGAACGAACATCAGGGCATTCGTCCCCATAAATGCCATTTTAGTGGATGTGATAAAAGCTATTTCTCTAAACCATCACTTAATCAACATTTAAAAGCCGTTCACAAAATGGTTTTGAGTTAAAACATAACATTATTAATTATGTAATAATTATAATTATATTTGTAAAGTAATTAAATATTATTACTATTAAAATGATTGATTTAACGACTTTTATTAATTATGTCAATTCTGTCAAACCGTTTGATATAAACCACACGTTATCTATGGATGTGTTTTGTTTACAAACAGTTTTGAGCTAAAAATGAGTTCAATGAATTGTGTTTAATTTAATTAATTATTAAATTATTATTAAACCGATTGCAAAAAAGACAGCAAATAATGTGTGAAATAGTAATCAATGAATTGATTGAAGAGTTGTTTGAGGAAAATAAGAGACTATTAAATGAATTGAAATTCAGTTCAATATTTCTTGAGAAATACAGACATTTATTATTAAATCTCAATTGTGTTAAAAGTAGTGATAATCAGCTGTTAATCGATTTACTTGAGAAGGACTACAAGACTATTATCACCGATGGATGCGCTCAACACTCGACCCAAACCACAACCACTCATAACTGGCCATTGGATACACAGACAACACCTGTCGGCCACCGATCGGAGACAATCACTACTGAAGACCAGTCAATAACCGCAGAAGACATTGTAAATGATGTTCAGTTAGAGACAGACACTGGAAGTGATGGATGTGTTGACACAAATATAGAGTCAATGCAATTGAATGAACAAACGATTGAAATTAAGAAAGAGAGTGAAGACATGAATGAATCAGTGATGAGTCCATTAGTGATCGCACCGCCGAAGACATTATCGTTGAGGACGTACTCGAAGATACATAGAGTACAACAATCAGAGACGAGTCCACGTGTGGGCACATCTTTGAAGACAACACTATATGAGTGCGATTTGATTGGATGTTTGCAGACATTCCCGTCGAGGACTGCATTAGAAGATCACCGAAAACTGATCCATAAGATTGACGTAGCGTTTGGTTTGAGGAAAAAATATCAGACTTTGACCAGAGCTTCGACCAAAAGAAATGATTATCCCTTTGCATGCGATTACAAGGGCTGTGCCTTTCGGGCCGACAATAAATTACTACGTGATAGGCATCGGAAGAGTCACGAGAGTCCTGGCCATCAATTTAACTGCGATTACAAGGGCTGTGGCAGATGTTTCGAATCCAAGCGGTCGCTAACCATTCACCGCCTCGCGAGTGGACACAGCGATGAAGATATCTTAAAGACTCCCTATCGCTGCCAATGGCCCGACAGTACGAAAACCTGTACCACTATATCGAGCCTAACGCCACACGTGAACGACCAGCCGCTTCACACTCAGGGCCGTCAACATCGGCGGCAAAAGCACTCATTGGAACCGATTGTGAAGAAAGTGTTTAAATGCGATTACAATGACTGCCAGTACGAGACTACCACTAAAGACTCCTTTAAGAGACATATGCGGCGACACAGCGATGAACAGCCGCATCGGTGCGATTGGCCCGCGTGTCACATGATTTTTAAAAGAGCCGACCATTTGGCCGCTCACAAGCGCCGACACGCCGGCGATACGAGGCTTAATTGCGATTTCAGCGGCTGTTCGTACGGCACTAACAATCGGACCGATTTCGAGGCCCACCGACTGAAACACCAGAATATCCGGCCGTTTGTGTGCGAAGAGACCGATTGTGGCAAAAATTATCGTTCCAAACGTCAGCTCAAAGTGCATATGTTTGCCGCACACAGCGATGAACGGCCGCATCGGTGCGATTGGCCCGGATGTGAGTCGGCCTACAAATCACCCCAAATACTGGCCGATCACCGGCGCACACATACCGGCGAACGCAAGTATAAGTGTCCGTTTGCCGGTTGCGGGAAGTGTTTTACGCGTAGAACCGGTTTACAAACACATATAAATTCACATAAACACCCGTATGTCTGTCATTGGCCCGAATGTGACCAGACGTTTGCCTATAAGTGGAGTCTTAAGGCCCATATGAACGAACATCAGGGCATTCGTCCCCATAAATGCCATTTTAGTGGATGTGATAAAAGCTATTTCGGTAAACCATCACTCAATGCACACTTGAAAGCCGTTCACAAAATGGTTTTGAGTTAAAAATTATTTATATAATCCTTTAAAAATTATATTTGTAAAATAATTAAATATTACTATTAAAATGATGAAAATTATGGATTTAATCACGACTTATATTGTGTTGATTTGTCTTTAAATTCAATTCATATAAAACACGTTATCTATGGATGTGTTGGAAATGTTTTGTTTACTAACAGTTTTGAGCTAAAAGTGAGTTTTGATTGAATTGTGTTTTATTTAACTAATTATTCAGTTATTATTAAACCGATTGCAAAAAAGATAGCAAACAATGTGTGAATTAGTAATCAATGAATTGATTGAAGAGTTATTTAATGAAAATAACAGACTTTTATCTGAATTAAAGTTTACGACAAAATGTCTGCAGAAATACAGGAATTGCTTATTAAATGTGAAACAATGTGTTTGTCTTAAAAGTAGTGATAATCAGCTGTTAATCGATTCACTGGAGAAGGACTACAAGACTATTATCACCGATGGATGCGCTCAACACTCGACCCAAACCACAACCACTCATAACTGGCCATTGGATACACAGACAACACCTGTCGGCCACCGATTGGAGATCATCACTGCTGAAGACCTGTCATTGGCCGCCGAAGACGTTGAAAGAGAGACAGACACTGAAAGCGATGGATGTGTTGACTCAAATATAGAGTCAATGCAAATGAATGAACAAACGATTGAAATTAAGAAAGAGAGTGAAGACATGGATTGTATTTTGACCATAGCTTCGACCAAAACAAATGATTTTCCCTTTGCGTGCGATTACGACGGCTGCGCCTTTCGGGCCGACAATCAATTACTACGTGATAGGCATCGGAAGTGTCACGAGTTTCCCGGCAATCAATTTACCTGCGATTACAAGGGCTGTGGCATATGTTTTGAATCCAAGCGGTCGCTAAACATTCACCGCCTCGCGAGTGGACACAGCGCTGACACCAATATCTTGAGGACTCCCGGGCCGTCCTATCGCAGCCACTCATTGGAACCGTTTGTGCCGAAGAAGGAGTTTAAATGCGATTACAATGACTGTCAGTTTGAGACCACCGGTTCGAAGGCTTTGAATGATCACAAGAAACGTCACCTCAATATCAAAGAGTTTATCTGCGAAGAGACCGACTGTGGGATGAGTTTTGTTAAGAACGCCGAACTCCGGAAGCATATGCGGCGACACAGCGATGAGCGGCCGCATCGGTGCGATTGGCCAGAATGTCACATGTCTTTCAAAACAACCAACAATTTGATCGCTCACAGGCGCCGACACGCGGGCGATACGAGTCTTAATTGCGATGTCAGCGGCTGTTCGTACGGCACTAACAATCGGACCGATTTCGAGTCCCACCGACTGAAGCACCAGAATATCCGGCCATTTGTGTGCGAAGAGACAAATTGTGGGAAAAGTTATCGCACCAAACGTGACCTCAATAGGCATATGTCTGTTCACAGCGATGAACGGCCGCATCGGTGCGATTGGCCCGCATGTGAGGCGGCGTATAAATCATCCCAAATACTGGCCGATCACCGGCGCACACATACCGGCGAACGCTTGAAATGTCCGTTTGCCGGTTGCGGGAAGTGTTTTACGCGTAGAACCAGTTTACAAGCCCATGTAAAATCACACAAACGCCCGTTTGTCTGTCATTGGCCCGCATGTGGTCAGACCTTTGCCTATCACTGGAGTCTTAAGGCACATATGAATGAACATCAGGGCATTCGTGCCCATGAATGCCATTTCCCGGGATGTGATAAAAGCTATTTTTCTAAAACACTACTTAATAAACATTTAAAAATCGTTCATAAAATGATTTTGAGTTAATCTTATAATAATTAAAATACATTTATATCTGTATATGAATTATTAATATAATATCAATTCTAATAAAATGATTAAAGTAATTGATTTTCAACATAATTAGCATTAATTATATTTTAATTTTAATTGAACCGTAAATTGAATTGATATAAAGCACACGTTATCTATGGATGTGTTTTAAAGGTTTTGTTTACAAACAGTAACTGTAATTGAGTTTTGATTGAAATGTGTTTTAGTTAACTAATGATTGAATGAATTGATAGTTAAATCGGACGAAGACTTCAAACAATGTGTGAATTAGTAATCAATGAATTGATTGAAGAGTTGTTTAATGAAAATCAAAGACTAATAAATGAATTGAAATTCAGTTCACAATGTAATGGATTTCTAGAAAAGTATAGAAATGTTTTGTTAGATTTGAAATGTGTTTGCATTGATTCCCCTAACAATCAGATCTTAATTGAATCCCTGGAGAATCAGTACAAGACTATTATCACCGATGGATGCGCTCAACACTCGACCCAAACCACAACCACTCATAACTGGCCATTGGATACACAGACAACACCTGTCGGCCACCGATCGGAGACAACCACTACTGAAGACCAATCAATGACTGGTGAAGACATTGTAAATGATAAACTCATTGGAAGTGATGGATTTGTTGACAACACAAGTGATGAGACAATACATCCCATTAATGCGAATGAGGTTAAAGTGGAGAAAGAGGATATGGTTTGGGATCCACTTTCAGTGATGAAGTACTCGACTTATAATAAGCCGAAGAGACGGAGAGTACAGACGGCGAGGAAGTCATGTGTCAGTTCGCCGCCGAAGACATCTAAAGTATATCCTTCGGAGACGAGTCCATCAGTGAGCGCACCGTCGAAGACATCCCTCTATGTATGCGATTATTACGGATGTGTTGAGACATTCACAGCAAAGAGTCTATTAGAAGATCACCGAAGACTCGAACACAAAGAGATTAGCATTAAATCGGATAATAAACTAAAAACAATAAAAATACGGACACTTAAGCCGTTTGCGTGTGATTACAACAATTGCAATTTCCGGGCCGTCAATCAGTCAATACTTGACAGACATCGGGAGAATCACGAGAGAGATGACCAGCAATTTCTATGCGATTACGACGATTGCGGGCAAACTTTTACACACGAGAGGGCTCTTAAAATACATCAACACCTGAGCGGACACTTCGATGACACCGACGATATGGCGATTCCGGGGCCGCCCTATGGCTGCCAATGGCCTGACTGTACGAAAGTCTTTAAGACTATTTCTAAACTGAAGAGACACGTGGATCAGGTGCACACCGGTGTCCGGCCATTTGGGTGTCACGACTGTCAGCGACGGTTCTTATCTAATAGCGAACTTTGTTTACATCGACGACAAAAGCACTCATTGGAACCGTTTGTGCCGAAGAAAGATTTTAAATGCGATTACAATGACTGCCAGTTCGAGACCATCAGTTTGAGTGCTTTGAATTATCACAAGAAACGTCACTTTAATATCAGAGAGTTTGTCTGCGAAGAGACCGACTGTGGGATGGGTTTTGTTACGAAAGCCGACCTCAAGAAACACATGCGGTCGCACAGCGATGAACGGCCGCATCGGTGCGATTGGCCCGCGTGTCAGATGGCTTTCAAAACAATCAACAATTTGGCCAATCATAGGAGTCGACACACCGGCGATAAGAAGCATAAATGCGATGTCAGCGGCTGTTTGTACGGCACTAACAATCGACTGGACTTCGAGGCCCATCAACTGAAGCACCAGAATATCCGGCCGTTTGTGTGCAAAGAGACCGATTGTGGGAAAGATTATGGCACTAAACGTGGCCTCAAGAAGCATATGTTATCGCACAGCGATGAGCGCCCGTATCGGTGCGATTGGCCCGGATGTGAGTCCGCATACAAATCATCCCAAGTACTGGACGATCACCGGCGCTCACATACCAATGACCGCAAGTTTAAGTGTCTGTTTGCCGGTTGCGGGAAGTGTTTTACGCGTAACAGCACTTTACAAACCCATATTAATTCACATAAACATCCGTTTGTCTGTCATTGGCCCGCATGTGACCACACCTTTGCCTATAACTGGAGTCTTAAGGCCCATATGAACGAACATCAGGGCATTCGTCCCCATAAATGCCATTTTAGTGGATGTGATAAAAGCTTTTTCTCTAAACCATCGCTGAGACAACATTTAAGAGTCGTTCACAAAATGGTCTTTAGTTAAAAACATAACATTATTACTCTTATTAACTAAATTTATAAATGTTTTTCCAAAATATAATAACTGTTGTCTTATTTTGTCATTTCTTTGAAAATAATAATATCTATAATAAGTTTAGTTAAAAATCATTCAGAAAATGCTTTTAATTAAATGTCATAATTAGAGTAATTATACGTTAATATTAAATAAATATTATTTATATAAAAATCATTAAAATCATTAATTTTCGGCTCACAATTGCCGGCAAATGATTTATTTGTGTTTTATTGTAACATAAATTGATTTGATTTAAAGCACACGTTATCTATGGATGTGTTGGAAATGTTTTGTTTACAAACGGTTTTGAGTGAAAACCAAATTGAGTTTTGATTGAATTGTGATTTAATTAATGACGAATTGAATGAATTGATCATTAAATGAGTTAAAAGACAGCAAACAATGTGTGAAATAGTAATCAATGAATTGATTTCTGAATTGTTTGCAGAAAATAAGAGACTTTTAAGTGAATTGACATTTATTTCTCAATCCAATAAATTTCTCGAGAATTACAGAAACTGTTTATTAAATTTCAAATGTAATTGTAATCAAGAATTAAATAATAAGGTCTTAATTGAATCCCTGGAGAGTCAGTACAAGACTATTATCACCGATGGATGCGCTCAACACTCGACCCAAACCACAACCACTCATAACTGGCCATTGGATACACAGACAACACCTGTCGGCCACCGATCGGAGACAATCACTACTGAAGACCAGTCAATGACCGCCGAAGACACTGGAAGTGATGGATGTGTTGACAACACAAATGAAAAGACAACACATATCTTCAATGAGATTAAGAAGGATAAGGAGGACAAGGATTGGTCGCCACTTTCAATGATGAAGTACTCGTTGTATAATAAGCCGAAGAGACAGAGATTACAACAGACGGCGAGGAAGTCATGTGTCAGTACAGCCCCGAAGATATCTAAAGTATATCAATCAGAAACGAGTCCATCGGTGAGCGCACCACCGAAGACATCCCTCTATGTATGCGATTATTACGGATGTGTTAAGACATTCAAAGCAAAGTGTTTGTTAGAATATCACCGAAGACTAGAACACAATGAGATTAGCATTAAATCGGATAATAAACCAAAAACAATAAAAATGCGGACACTTAAGCCTTTTGCGTGCGATTACGACAATTGCAATTTCCGAGCCGTCAATCAGTTAATACTTGACAGACATCGAGAGAATCACGAGAGAGATGACACCAACGATATGGCGATTCCGGGGCCGCCCTATGGCTGCCAATGGCCTGACTGTACGAAAACTTTTACGACTACTTGGAAACTGAAGAGACACATGGATCAGGTGCACACCGGTGTCCGGCCATTCGAGTGTCACGACTGTCCGAAACGATTCGTAACGAATAGCGAACTTTGCTTACATCGTCGGCAAAAGCACTCATTGGAACCGTTTGTGCCGAAGAAGGAGTTTAAATGCGATTTCAAGGACTGCCAGTTTGAGACCATAGGTTTGGGTGCTTTAAATGATCACAAGAAACGTCACCTCAATATCAAAGAGTTTGTCTGCGAAGAGACCGACTGTGGGATGAGTTTTGTTACTAAAGGCGACCTCAGGAAGCATATGCGGCGGCACAGCGATGAACGGCCGCATCGGTGCGATTGGCCCGGATGTGAGTCGGCGTACAAAAAGGCCGAGAGTTTGGTCGAACACCGGCGCCGACACACCGGAGATCTGCCGTTCGCTTGCGATGATTGCGAGGAAAGGTTTCCCTCCAATAACTCACTGACAGAACACCGCCGGAAACGACACAACATTAGTAGATATGAATGCGATGTCAGCGGCTGTTCGTGGACTACAAACTCGCGGACGGAATCGGATGCCCACCGACGGAAGCACCAGAATGTGCGGCCATTTGTGTGCGAAGAGACCGATTGCGGGAAGAGTTTTAGCCGAAAGGATTCCTTCAATAAACATATGCAGTGTCACAGCGAAGAGCGGCCGTATCGGTGCGATTGGCCCGGATGTGAGTCGGCGTACAAGAGGAACACTAGTTTGGTTGATCACCGGCGCACACATACCGGCGAACGCGAGTACAAGTGTCCGTTTGCCGGTTGCGGGAAGTCTTATGCGACCAGAAGTATATTACATCTTCATAAAAACACTCACAAACAGCCGTATGTCTGTCATTGGCCCGAATGTGACCAGAGATTTGGTGATAATCGCCGACTTCAGGGCCATATGAACGAACATCAGGGCATTCGTCCCCATAAATGCCATTTTAGTGGATGTGATAAAAGCTATTTCTCTAAACCATCACTGAATCAACATTTAAAAGCCGTTCACAAAATGGTTTTGAGTTAAATGATAATCAATTATTACTCTTATTAACTAAATTTATAAATGTTTTTCCAAAATATAATAACTGTTGTCTTGTTTTGTCATTTCTTTAAAAAAAATAATATCTATAATAAATTTAGTTAAAAATCATTCACAAAATGCTTTTAATTAAATCTCATAATTAGAGTAAGTATTAAGTAATAAGTATTAAAATTGTTAATTTTCAGCTCACAATTGCCGGCAAATGATTTATTTGTGTTTTATTGTAACATAAATTGATTTGATTTAAACCACACGTTATCTATGGATGTGTTGGAAATGTTTTGTTTACAAACAGTAACTGTAAGTGAGTTTTGATTGAATTGTGTTTTAGTTACTAATTATTGAATGAATTGATAGTTAAATCGGACGAAGACTTCAAACAATGTGTGAATTAGTAATCAATGAATTGATTTCAGAATTGTTTGCAGAAAATAAGAGACTTTTAAATGAATTGACATTTATTTCCAAAATCAATACATTTCTAGAGAATTACAGAAACTGTTTATTAAATTTCAAATGTAATTGTAATCAAAAGTCCAATA